AGATGAGGGATTCGGGTTCTTGCTTCCTTCGTTTGCATGTCCTCATCTCTCCAAATTACAGGCCTCCCTAACCTACTCCGCTTCTCAGGACAAGAGCTTGCCTCCTTGGAGAGGCTCCTTTAAAACTGAAGGCAAAGAGAAGCAAAGGAGAATGTATGTTCCCAGGGGGGTGCTCTGGAAAAGAAAGAGTAAGTTCCTGGGTTGCCCCATCCATGCTAGTCTCACCAGTCTGGGAAATAACTCCGCAGGCAGAGATGCTTGGTGGGGCCCAAGAGGCCTGAGGATTTACCCATTTCCACATTGGAGGAAACAGGAGTGGAACAGAAGCATTCCCCACCCCTAACTCCCTGGTCTCTTTCTGAAGTTGTTACTTTTAATCATGGGTAGGCTAAGACATTAGACCATCATGCTTAAAAAATTCCCGCCAAATTAAAAATAAAACATATACAGAGTAGTGGCCTAGGGAGTGTGCTTTAAGTAATGTACTTACTACAGTGGTTGGCATAGAGCAGGCAGACAAAACATGCTAGTTGCCCTTCTCTTTGGTTCATTTACGTCATAATGCATTTTATCAGAAAATGCATTAAAAAAGAAATGAATGAATAACACATAATCTCAAATGCTTTATCACTTTAAAGTTGAATAATTATTTAATAATAGAGTGTAATATTACGGTAAGGTTAAAATTCCCAGTATCGTTAATACTTTTTTATATCATTATATAGAACTCATATTTATTCTTTAGACCAATTTATGGGTTATCTTTGTTACTTTTTAAGTTCTTCTGCATTATGACTTTTTGCCTGCTATGTAGACAGTAGAAAGAAAGATTGAGAAATAATTTAAATTTACCATTTACTGCTAGTGTTGATTCTTATATCACATCAGTCCTGAGTACTGTTTTCTACATTCAGAAATATAGTTAAACTAATAGCTTAATATACAATTGTTTTAAGAAGTATGAATTAATGCCTGATATGCACATTACATTAGCATCATTGTGAATAATTCATATTAACATTTTAAAAAATTTCTCTTTGTAATTAAGCATTCATTACCTGTAATAACGCACTTTTCTGGGGCAGCTTTTTCACAAGCCACTTTATTACTGATTGCATTATCTCCCCTCGTCCTCCCCTGCAACTAGCACGCCCTGACCTGCTGTAGGATTTGCACTACTGCTCCCACTCCACAGTGAAAGAAGCTGGAACAGGAAGGGAAGGAATGCTGCTTCTTACATAATTCACTGTGAGAAGCTGCAGTTGATATTCCTCTATAAATAAAATGCTATTTTGAAAATTTTTTACAAAAGTGATTTTTTAAGAAATGTTTATTCTAAATTTGCCTTGGTCAGAGAGAAAAAATAACACTTGTTTAAATATGGTTGTTTTAAAGAGAAACAAATTAAATTCTTCTTTTATCTACTTCCATTTGTCCATACATTTGTGCCTGTTGAAAGAAATCGTATCTTCGGCCTTGATGTTTGCAAGTCTCTTTCTCTTTTCATCTCTTACTTTCATATTTATGGGCAGCTTCTTTAATTAGATAAATGAAATAAAAAGCAAAAAGCTACCTTTGGTGAACTGAAATTAGAATAATTATATTTGTTGGTATTTACTTTTTAAAAGGGATTCATTGGAAATACTTGCATTGCACAAATATTAAATACATGTGAATTAGACAAGTACCTTTTTGGGGTTTACCAATTTTTAGGACCTCTAAATTTTGTCCGGAATTAGCCCTTGCTTCACGAGACTCTTTCATTATTTGTCTGTATATGGCCTCCTTTCATTTAGTGTTTTTAATGTTACTATACCATTTGTGAACCCAACACCCAAAGCAAAAGATAGGATCTTGGTAATAACCTGTTATCTAGCCAAATGACTTCTCCGCATCTCTCTGACTCCCTCTATCCTAGGTAGCCATTTTTTGAGTTAATGATTCACCAGTCCCTTGCTGGCTTTCTTTATATATTCTTATTATGTCTATATGTGTCCCCCATAAATATTTTAAAAATTTAGTTGTTTTTACTTGTCTTAAAAGGATTTCCAGTACTGTATGTAATCCCTAGTATGTATTTCTTTGACTTACTATTATGTTATTAAGATGCATTGTGTTGTGATGTTTCATTCATTTTGACTACTTCACGGTAGTCCAAAGGGCTGCCTCTATCACTGTATTAATTCACGCTTCCATTGATGGAGAGTTGGGGTGCTACAGTTGTGAAGAGCTGTTTGAACATTCCTGTACATGCCTCCTGTTCTTACCCTATGAGATGGTTTCTCTTAAGAATAACAGTGCTGGGTCACAAGGTGTGCAAATTTTCAATTTTAGGAGATAATGCCAAGGCATTTTCTGGAGCGACTGCAATTTGTACTCCCACCAACAATGTCTAAGAGACCATGTAGATGCCTCTCTCACCAGCACTTAGTTTTGTCAGACTTCTAATATTTTTTTAGTTAAATGGACATGAAATGATATGTCTTAAATTTTATTCTTTATATGTATTGGGAATATTTCTTCTTTTGTGAAATTCATGTTCATGTATTTTTGTCCATTTTTTTATATTAAGTTTTTGGTGTTTATATTAACAGTATGTTAGGCATTTATTATATATTAGTTAGGCAACTAATCTTTTGTTGGATGTATATGTTTGAATATATTTTCCCAGTTCATAATTTGATCTTTTTTCTTTAAGGTATCTCTTGATGACTAGAAGATTTTAATTTTAATGTAATCAAAATCTATTAATCTTTTATGGTACATACTTTTTTTGTGACTTAGGTAATCTTTTTTTAACCCAAGGTCTAAAAGGTATTCACCAATACCTTCCACTAATTTATTTAATGGTTTATTTATTTTATTTTTATTTATTTATTTTTAAAAATATATATATTGATTTCAGCGAAGGAGGGGAAGACATAGAAACATCAATGATGAGAGAGTCATTGATCAGCTGCCTCCTGCATGCCCCCTATTGGGCAGCGGGCCTGCAACTCAGGCATGTGCCCTGACTGGGAATCAAACTGCGATCTCCTGGATCATAGGTCAATGCTCAACCACTGAGCCGTGGTGGCTGGGCAGTGGCTTATTTTTTTAAATTTAAGACCTTACTCACTCTAGATTGATTTTTGTTAATTGAGTGAAGTGAGGATTCAACTTTATTTTTTTCAAAAAGATTGCTCTTTTACAAATCTCCGTTTATTGATCTAATTTAAATTTAACTTTATTTTTCTGTCTGGCTTTTTAAATTGAATTTATTGGGGTGATATTGGTTAATAAAATTATATAGATTTAGGTGTATAATTCTATAATACATCACCTGTATATTGTATTGTGTATTCATCAACTCAAGTCAAGTCTCCTTCCATCACCATTTATCCCCCCTATACTCTCTTCTACTTCCCCCAGCCCCCCTTTCCCTCTGGTAATTGTCATGATATTGTCTGTGTCTATGACTTTTGTTTGTTTGTTTGTTAAATCCCTTCATATTTTTACCCAGTGCTGCAATCCCAATCCCTCTGACAGCTATCTTTATGTGGTTTTGGAATTAGGATAATGCTGGCCTCATAAAATGAGCTTGGGAGTCTCTCTCCTCTTGAATTTTTTGGAATAGTTTGAGAAGGATAGGGGTTAGTTCTTCTTTGAATGTTTGGTAAAATTCACCTGTGCAACTATCTGGTCCAGGACTTTTGTTTGCTGGGATTTTTTAAATTTCTGCTCTAACTTCACTAGTTGTAATCTGTCTGTCCAGATTTTCTGATTCTTCCTGATTCAGTTTTGGAAGATTGTAGGTTTCTAGGAATTTATCTATTTTGTACAGATTGTCCAATTTATTGGCAAATAGATGTTTGTAATATTTTCTTACAATCCTTTGAATTTCTTTGGTGTCAGATGTTACTTCTCCTCTTTCATTTCTGATTTTATTTATTTGGGTCCTTTCTCTTTTTTTCATGATGAGTCTGATTAAAGTTTTGTCAATCAAAGAACCAGCTCTTGGTTTCACTAATCTTTTGTATTTTTTTTTAGACTTTATATTATTTCTGCTGTGATCTTTATTATTTCCTTCCTTTTACTCACTTTGGGCTTTGTTTGTTGGTTTTTTTTCCTTCAAGTTCCTTTAAGTGCAAAGTTAGACTGTTTATTTGAGATATTTCTTGTTTCTTGAGATAGGCCTGTAATGCTATGAATTTCCCTCTTAGGATTGCTTTTGCTGTGTCTCATAGATTTTGGGTTGTTGTGTTCTTATTTTCATTTATTTCAAGGTATCTTTTGATTTCTTCCTTGATATCATTGTTAGCCCGTTCATAGTTCAGTAACATGTTATTTAGCCTCCATGCCTTTGTGTGTTTTTCAGATTTTTTTCTTGGGATTGATTTCTAGTTTCATACCATTATGGTCAGAGAAGATGCTTGATATGATTTTGGTCTTCTTAAATTTATTGAGACTTGTTTGGTGTCCTAACATGTGGTGTATCTTAGAAAATGTTCCCTGTTCACTTGAAAAGAATGTATATTATGCTGCTTTGGGGTGAAATGCTCTGAAATTTTCAATTAAATCTATCTGATTTAGTGTGTCATTTAAGGCCACCATTTCCGTGTTGATTTTTCTATCTGGAAGATCTATCCACTGATGTCAATGGGGTGTTAAAATTGCTTACTATGACCGTATTACTGTCAGTCCCTCCTTTTATGTCCATCAAGATTTGCTTGACATATTTAGGTGCTCCTCTGTTGGGTGCATAAATATTTACAAGGATTATATCCTCTTGTTGGATTAAATTTAATCTTCTTAACTATAATGGTCTGACTTCCCACTTGCGTCATATACCAAAATTTTATGAATGCATAGATCTATTTCTGGACTTTTTATTCTGTGCTTTTGTTCAGTTATGAATGTGTGTATACATCTTTAAATTGAATATTTTTATCTTTGAATTTTAGACACACACATATATGCACCTAGATTTTGAAATACTTTGTGTGTCTTCTTTCTACTAGGTTTTGGACATAGTAAAAACAAGTATTCGCACAGTTCTTCCACGCATCTGGAAGGGAACTGATGTCGATGAACTACATTTGTATCGGATTTTTAACCGGGTTTTTAATCGTTTACTATGGAGTCATGGCCAAGGACTGTGGAACTGTTTCTGTGATTCAGGGTAAGTTCTAAGTTATCTTTTATTATTGTCATTTAAAATATTTTACTGTTAATTATAGAGGGAGCTCAATAAAAAATTTGAATTTCTCTCTTAAAATATGAATTTTTACTACATGTAATTTTTAGTACTCAACTATAATTTATAGCAGTTAAATTGATTTAGATGAGATGATTAATATGAACACAACACCACCTAACTAATTTGAATTCAGGGAAGAAAGGTGGTTTTAATTAATGAAAAATCTCAATATCCATAAGGTTCTTCTACTGTTGCTTCTTTGTAGCAGACTTCCAAAATCATGGCTGTTCTCCTGCTCTTCTCCTGAATTTCAGTCCTGTCAAAGTTGTTGTGACTCATTATCATTTTAGCTTTAAGACACTTAAAACCAAACATTCCATACCTCCCTTTTATTTGGAAGCCACTTCCCTTTTGGACTTCCCTTAATCCCATTGTACAGGTTTAATATCTTAGGGACATCTACATTTCCCTTCTCCTTCACCGTTTGTATTCAGTCATCTGCTAAATCCTGTTAGTTTTGCTGTCACATTCCCACTGTGGCTATTCTAGATTGTTTTTCATTAGTCTTAACAATTACAAAGTACTCACTACTAGGTTATATAGTTTTGGAGATACAAAGTTGAATCTAACATAGATCTTGTCCCCAAGAAACTTTTAAAAAAACAGTAATAGCTAACACTGTACAACTTACTGTGTGCCAGGCATTGTTCTAAACACTTTACATATATTAAGTGATTGAATCTTCATAATATGACTTTGAAGCAGGTTTTCTGATTATCTCTATTTTGTAGACAAGGAAACTGAGGCATAGTTAGGTGCTAAGGAGCTAGTACACTAGGATTTAAACTCAGGGAGATTGGCCCCAGAGTTCATTGGTTGGCAGATGAACCAATAATCTCGACTTTCTCTAATAGACAAAATAAGATGTATACAAAAGTAATGATTATAAAAGAGACAAAGTATTATAGGATTTCAGAGAGGGGGAGTCTTTTTGATATAAGGTGGAATTAATTAGATTTGTAGGTATTTTTGCCTCCAATTTTTTATTTCCTTTATCCATCCTACTCTGTGTCATTCCTTAAAATCTGTAGTGATTTCCCTAATTTATCATTAAAGTCTAGACTTCTTATCTAGAAGTACAAGACTCTCTGATATACTGGTTATTTCTCATTTCTCCAGGCTTCTCTTTCATTACTCTCCTACTTGAACTCTGTTCCAGAAAAACAAATTCATTATTTTTCAAATATCTTAAAAATGTGTCCTTTCTTTAAGCTGTCGATGTCATTGAGTATCTGATTGGGCTGCTTTTTACAACTCTATTCTTCCAATCCCCTTTGCATTATTTAAACCCTATGTAAAGACTCAGACTACATACTTCTTTTTAAAACCTTAACTAATGTAGTTTGAAGTGATCTCTGAATGTCCTCCATTGACATATTCTAGTCATCTAGTACTGAATAATTTATAGCATTTGCAGACTTGTCCTCACCACCATAGTTATTCTTAGCTGCAATTCACCAACTTGGAGAACTCACAAGGTGCTCTGGGTTGTAATGAAATCTGAGAATAATTGTGGCTATAAAATATTTCTACGGAGACTTAAGTGAAACATTCGAACTGTACTCCGTGGCCCCTTAGTTGATGTTGAAGTTCTCTCAGTGTGAATTCATAATTGGAATTTTTGTTTGTTGAAACATTGTTTGGAATGCTATATATGAATCCCAGCTACTGTCCACCATGGAAGGGAGTGAGACAGTCTGCTACTGAGATGGAGCTGATGGTTTTGAGTCCATGAGCTAATCTCCAATGCCAGACCCTAAAGATGCTCATAAAGTGGTGGTTCTTTGCTGTTAGAACTTATTTTCCTTCAACTATTTTGGTAATACACTCTAACTTAATTCAGAATTCTTTCCTCTTGTTCCTGGCACAATACTCCTCCCAGTTTTCTCTGCTGGCACATGTTACTGCTAGTAATGACAATGAGACTGACATTTGGTGAAGGCTTAATATTTTTACATATTAAATATTTTTATAATCACCATGACAATATTTTGAGGAATCTAGTAATTATTATTCTCATTGTACAGATAAGGAAATTGAAGCATGAAGATAGTATATAACTTGCCCAAGTTCTCATAGTAACCAGGTGAGCCTGGATTTAAATCCAAGTTGTCTGAGTCAAGAGCTCAAGATCTTAACTCTGTGCTTCATTAAGTTCCCTCAAAGTAGCAACACTATCAGTGGTTGCTAAGCTTGCTTTATTGAAAGTCCATAGCATTAGCTAAATCCCCAGCCCCCTGTACCAGGGCAGGTAGAGTGGGAGTAGCTTTGAATCCATTTCTTTAAAAACTTGGTGGTTTGCAGAGGTGGGTTTAATACCAGATTTTATTTTGCAGCTTTACACACGAGGTCCTTAGGCTTCCTCAATTTCATGAAGCCAGGTGGTGGTGTGTGTGTTTGATTCTCAGTTTGGACCCAGAATAGTTCTACTTATCTTTAGATCATATCTATTCAAATGTATACTCTTGAACTTTGGCCTAATAGCCTAGTAGTCATGGTAAAACTGTACTCTTAGTTCAATTCTAAAGGAAAGATTTTAATAAACATGCACCTATCTTTCACAGTTAGGTATAAAATCTTGGAAAAATACAATCCAATAACTCTGGGCCAACTTGATTACTGCCTCTACCTGTTATCACCCCAATAATAAAACTATAAATGAACCATTCTCTGTCCACATCCAGAAATATCAAAGAATATGATAGATCTTTGTGGTAGATTTCTCTAGAATTGGCCTAGGAGTTTTACTGATGCATCAAATAGAAAACATCCTCACTCTTCTCTCTCGCTCTTCCCAGCTGCTGAAGTCCATGCTTAGTGACCCTTTTATCACATGCAGCCTCCTGGAAGTGTTATATTGCCCCACATTCTGCATGTGTTCTCTCCAAAGGAATAACTCTTGGAATTGTCCACTGTGTTTTACTGGAATAGCGGAAGTCTAAGTTTTCTTGGGACTCAAACAAGGCCTGAGAGCTTAGGAAGGGTGGCCAAGGCAAGTAGCATTTCAGCTGAAATTTGCAGAAAGTGGAAGACTAGGAATTTGCTCGGTAAAGCAAAGAGGAGGGTACAGGGGCTAGTATGGGAGAAGGAATGCTTTGTTTGGAAAAGCCCCCTCTCCTCTCAAAACCCTGACATGTAAACCCCAGAGAAGAGAATCTGGTTAGCCCTTTAGCCAAAGGCACTTTCCTGTGGGAGTTTCTCATGTAAAAGCTTTTCTTTTAGAACCTTTGGGCAGGAGGAAATTTTAAGGAATATTTTAAGGAAGTCTGCTTCTAGGCTGAATTATATGCCTACTTGAAAATGTACATACAACATGCAGCCTATTTAGAATGATGTAAATCTTCATTTCGATGCGTTGTTGTTAGTACTTTTCAGCTCTTTCTGTTGCTTATGATCCTCTTGGCATAGTCCAGATTTTTGTAACCTTCCCTTTTCCCTTCTTGTACTTAACTTTGGGCCACTCATCCGTCCATTAGGACTTCTACCAGAGAAGGAGAAATAAATGAGTTTCACTTTTTAGATAACTACTTTATTAAATAGTTTGATGAGAAAGGACATGAAAATCATTGCATGACTGGATTATATGAAGCTCTTCAAGTCTCTGAATCTGTTCATAACTCCCCTTTCTTGGGGTAGTCAGTATTCTGTATCTTATTGGTATATTACTAACAAAAGTCATTTAAAGTCACTTTATTTCATATTTTTCTGAGGATTTGGGTGTGCCAGAAAGAACTTTTTTAACCATTTCGTTTTTGAACTCATGGATTTTGGTTCTCCCATTTCCTTGGAACTTAGAATCAGAAAGCAGGCAGATAAAACCATGCTTTCTTTGATAAAGGCAGTGGTATTTTTAATTATTTCTACATCCTTTACTTTCTTAAAAGTTTTGTATTGGCATTGAAAGTTAAGATACTGGCATTAGAGGAGCAATTCCCATTTCCTCCGCTATGCCAGGTGGTGGGTGGGAGGTGAGGCCTCAGTTTGAAGGATAGGTTTCCTTTGTGCAGAGTGGGTACCACTAGTCTAGCACCAAATGAAGCAAGTCCCGTTCATTCTCTTTTTTCTTTATGAGGGTTCTCGCGTGCTGACACTTAAATATAGAGAATAGAGTGGATTGTGGTCTTTGGCCTGTGATGGTGGATGCACCCACCAAGAATAGGTAAAGGACCTTGATTCATATGTTTATTTTAAATATTCAAGGAAGAATGAGAGAATGAGAAGCCAAAGCTGCTCATATTATAACTCACATATTATTCTGGGTGTTACATCAGATTAGAATGTTATAAAAGAAGCTCTTTTATCTTTCTTCTATTTTATTTGTTCTTAACTTACCTGTATGCTCCAATCCAGGAAAAGAAAAATTACCATGATGTGAGTCACTGGATAGTGGATCTAATTGAATGGCTCCAAAGGATCAAAATATAAATATATTCAAATGGAGAGGGGATGTTGGTGAGGGAGGTTCACTTTTGTAGAAAAGTGCTAGGCAGACTGTAAGAACAAAGGATACTTTCTCTGTGTGTTTATGTTTATGTGAAATTTTTATTTCTCTGGGCTCAGATGTGTAGGGCTTGCTAGATTGACTTATTAATTATAAACATATTCCCTAATTAACTGATGTTTTCCAATATTTTTCTCTATCAAATTAGGTAAATTGGATATATACACACATATATAAATATATAAATATATATGTATAACATATCATATCTAGCATTCCTTATATTTAGTAATGAATTAAATTTTAGTTTTAGAGTTAATTTTATTAGCTTATTCTTAGTATATTATTGTTGAGCCCTGAACATCTCAAAACATGGAAGCAAATTTATTCCTTTTAATCTACTCATTTGAATCTTATGCCTTTTAAGAAAACCTGTCATTCACCGATGACATGCTGTCTTTTTGAGGCCATGTTTCTCCTGAAAAAAATAAACAGTAGCCTTTGTAATTAAAAATTCCTTTCTTCATTTCTAAAGCATTTTTAAAAATTCCAAAGATATCGAATATCCACAGGGGATTGAAAATGGAGTCTTTGAATTTCCCATCGGGAAGTATATTCCTTCAGAAAAATATTTTCCTTAATATTTTTTTTCTTTTGATAATCTCCTCTCTTCTCTCTCTGAGGATTAAGTGAATTGTTGTATGTAAAATGAGACTTGAACCATTACTCAGTCTCAAACCAAACTTTGCCCTTGAGGCTTGAAAAGAGTTTCATTTGCACTAAGGAAATAAGTTCTCTCTCTCTCCCTCGCTCTCTCCCCCTCCCTCCGGTGGTGATGGTGGGGGTGATGGGATTATGAGTGATGAGGCATATCTTGATTTGGGCCATGACAGTAAACTTAGGAATTATAAGTACACACACACACACACACACACACACACACACACACACTTCAGGAACGTGAGCAAGCACTCACCACCGCCTGCTTCGGTGTAAGCCGAGCGAGCTAAAGGAGAGAGGACCCTGCCTTTGGGACTGCAGTGAGGCAGTGCTTGTTGGGATAACATTGCTTCTAGCGTACAAAACCTGTGCTCTAGGAAGATCGTGGACATAATTACATCCGAAAGTGTTATGAAAGGTATGGTCATAATTGAGGGATCAGCCTAAATTCTTCTGGTGCGAAGAGGTCACAAATATCTTTTTAATTCTTCTTGTGGGATTATTAATAATGTAAAGGTAAATATAGCTCCCTGGGAAAATCTAAATTCCTGGAATACCTAACTTCTGAGAAATCAGCTTAGTATTTTACGAACACTTTAGTGCAGAGTAACTCCGTTTTTTTAGGTGGTATTGGAAGACCATCCTTTTACTTACCCACAGTTGGCAGCAGTGAAGTCTTGAAAGACAAATAGTCTATGGATTCTGTCATTTTTCAGTATCAAGATTAATTTCCAAATATGTATTTATTTTATACCTTTCAGCTGTCTGTAGTCACTTCAAATGTGTGAGTTGCTATTGTTCCTTATTGCTTCCTTGCTAGGTAAGTGATACAGCTGGTTGCCATTTTTAACAGCGTCGTGAGGTCATGTCTGTTTCCATGCCAACAGATCCTCTTGGGAGAGTGTTTTCAGTAAAAGCCCGGAGGTGACTCCTTTGCAGCTCCAGTGTTGCCAGCGCCTGGTGGAACTGTGTAAACAGTGCCTGCTAGTGGTTTACAAATACGCAAACGACTCAAGAGGATCACTCTCAGGCATTGGTACCGATTGGGGTAATTCCAGGTACTTGTTTATGTTCCCCAGACTCTGTTTTATACAATGCGGTTTAATGCCAAATGCAGTTTGAAATTGAAAGTCTTTTTGTTTATATGGCTACTGAAAATTCATACATGTTGTTGTCTACAAAATACTTTTAATTTGCAAAATCTATACCAGGACCAAACATACCTGAAGGGGATAAAAATAAGCTACATGTAAATGAGATTATTTGGTGTAAGTATTTTTGCTTTCAAAAGCCAAGAAAGAACAATTAAGAATGCTAATAAATTTAACTTATTTCCCCTGATAGAAATACTTCAACATTTATCCTTAAGCCTAACGGTTGAGAAGATACCTTTAGTTTAATTTTTATTGTTCAGTATGCCTCCATTACTCCCTTCGTCACCAAACAAATCAGTAGGAGATGGATTTTGTTAAGTTCTATTTAAAACCTGAATTTTTGTGTTATCCAGTTAAAGTAGGTAATTTCTAAAAGCATAAAAATAATATTGTCATTAAGTTGCAAAAATATACAGAGTAAACAAGAAATATATTTTAGCACCTCAAGACAATCATGGTTCCCATTAGAATAAAAGATGAGTAGGTGACTTTACTTTTAGTGTATGTAAGTTGTAGTCTCCTCAGTATGAGAGTAAACCATGACTTTGAAAAACTAAGTGATCTTGAGAGGATGATAGGATTCAACTAACAGTTGAATAGACAGTGAGGAATAGCATGACCAACTTCTGTTTATTGTATCAATTTAAAGGTATAGTGACATGAAAAAGTGATCAATGTAATTTCAATAGAATAAGATCATTTCAAAAAGTATAGATAAATCAGTTGATAAAATTCCATATGCATTCATGCTTTTTAAAAATGCTTTAGCAAGCTAGAAGCAGAAGATAAATTCCTTAATCTAATGAAGGATAAGTACAAAACCTACAACAAACGTACCTAGTGGTGAAATGTTGAATGCTTTCCATTTGAGATGAGAAATGAGCCAAGATTTTCTGTTATTACTACTTCTACTTAGCATTGTACTGGAGGTCCTAGATGATTCAGTAAGGCAAGCAAAAGAAAAGAAATAAAAGGCATTAGATTTGGGAGAAAGAACTAAAACTCATTACTAGCGTATACAACTGTGTTCATAGAAATTGAAATAAGTTCTACAAATAAATTATTAAGTAAGTTTAACAATTTTGATAAAATCAAAGTCAAATAAGTTATATATTTTCTATATCAACATCAATATCAACAGCAAGAATATGAAATTTTAGCTATAATATAATTTTTCAGCCGCATCAAAAAATAGCTAACTTAGGAATAAATGTAACAAAAATGTGTAACAAAAATATATATGCAGGAAAATGTAAAAAATGGAAAGATATACCTTATTCATCATCAGGATCAATATTATCAGTATGTCAATTCTTAAATGGTTTTGTACATCTATAAATTCAATGTAATCTTAATATAAATGTCAACAAAATTTTTTTTTGGGAGGAACAGTATTTGACCAAAGCTTGTTCTAACATTTACATAAAAAAGCAAAGTACCAAGAATAGATAAGACACTGTTGAAAGAGAACAATAAAATGATAAGATTTATTAACTACTATGTACTCAGACTTATAATAGAGCTAAAGTAATTTAAGACATTGTAATATTGCCCAAAGGATAGACAAATAGACCAATAAACCATCCAGAAAGGCCATAAATAGACCCAGGCATATATAGAGACTTGATTTATGACTGAAAGGACAAGAAAGTTTGTTTTAAGCAAATGGTTCTGGGACAATTGGGTTTCTAAATAATAATAAAAAAAGAAACTACTCACATTATATACAAGTATCATTTCCAATGAATTGACTATACAAATGTGAAAGGCAAAACTAGGTTTCAGGAGAAAATATAGGGGGATATTTTCATCTCTTTGCAGTATGCAAATATTATAAAAAAATAGAACCAAAAGTGTATTTCATAAATGAAAAGATGAATTTTAATATAAAATTAAGAACATATGTTCCTCAGAAGTCCTTGAGAGGGAGAAAAAGCAAGCCATACAATGGAAGAAGGTACTTGAAATTCATATAACCTATTAAAGATTTTGACACAGATTGTATAAGAACTCCTACAAATTTCTAAGCAAAAGAACCCAAAACACTCCATAAAAAAAATGGAGAAGATACTGGAAGAGGCTGTTTACAAAAACTCAAAAAAATAAAAAAGGACCAATAAACGTTTGAAAGTGTTTAAGCGAATAATCAGGGAAATGCAAAACCACAAAAATGCTGCATAGCCAGAGTTAATGAGAACATAGAGTAATGGGAACTCACTGCTGGTGATAGTGAAAGTTCGTACCTTTTAATAACAGTTTGACATTACAGAATAAAATCTACTTTTTCCCAGGTATTCTATTATGAGTAATTCTAAGCAGAGATGTCTGAATATGTGCACCAAGACCATTAGAATGCTCGTAGTAACATTTGCTTATAATAGCTAAAATTCTGAAGCAACCAAATATTTATTCGTGGAAGAATGGGCACATTTTTGTAGTATTCACACAGTGGAATGTAATACACATGGAAAATGAACAAACTGCATGTACATATAGCAACATGGATGAGTCTCAAACAGAAAATTGAGCAAAAGAAGCCAGACCCAAAGGAGTACATGCCTTGTCCCATTTATTTAAAATAAAAAACAGGGACAACTAAATTGTGTTTCTGGAATGTGTACTTAGGTAAAAAAGGAAGTAATTGCCATAAGAGCCTGGGGAGTGTGTAACTTTATGAGAAGGGGAGTGTTGTAATACAGGGCTCTGGGGTGTTAGGAATGTTCAATTATTTAACGTGGGTAGCAGTTATATAGGTAATCATTTAATAATGTTAATTGAACTGGTCATTTGAGTTTTATTCACTTTGTGAATGTGTGCTATACAATGAAAAAGTTTTAAAAATCAAGTTAAATACATGGTACCATTATAACCTCAGGCTGAGATAGCTTAATACATCTGTGTCACAACAGGGATAGTCTTGCTAGTGAGGCTGATGTTCACAATGCATAAATAATATTTCATTGGCTCCATACTCTGTGAGCCAGGCATGGCAGAAACTATTGTACTCTTTTCACAGATGAGAAATATGAGGCCAGATTGGTTAAATGGCTTATCCAAATACACATTGCTAGCATATGGCAGAGATGGGACTTGAAACTAGGGTTCCACCCCACGAAAATTAAAAGTTAATACTACAGGACAATGCATACCCACTAATGAACAAAGTAACCTGATCAGCTGCCTCCTGCGTGCCCCCTACTGGGGATCGAGCCACACCGGTGTGGCTCAGTGGTTGAGGGTTGACCTGTGAACCTGGAGGTCACCATTCAGTTCCTAGTCAGGGCACATGCCCGGGTTGCGGGCTTGATCCTCAGTAGGGTTCATGCAGGAGGCAGCTGATCAATGACTCTCTCATCATTATTGTTTCTATCTCTCTTTTCCTCTTTCTGAAATCAATAGTAAAAAAAAAAAGACCTAGAGACATTGAAGCATGCAACTGACTGACACATTTCAGAGGGAAAGAGGGGGCAGTGGGGGAAGAGATTAACCAAATAACTTTTATATGCATAACCCATGGACACAGACAATAGTGTGGTGAAAGCCTGGGGTCAGGGCGGGAGTGGAGTGNATTAACCAAATAACTTTTATATGCATAACCCATGGACACAGACAATAGTGCGGTGAAAGCCTGGGGTCAGGGCGGGAGTGGAGTGGAGTAAGGGAAAAGGGGACATCTGTAATACTTTCAACAATAAAGAAAAATTAAATAAATAAATAAGGATAGCTATTATAAAAATACAAAATAGTAAGTGTTGGTGAGGATATTGAGAAGTTAGAACCCTTGTGCGTTGCTGGTTCTTAATGGTGTGGCAGCTATGGAAAATAATTAATCATTCCTCAAAAAATTAACTGTAGAATTACCACATGCTCCAGCAATTCCACTCTTAGGTATATACCCCAGAGAACTGAAAACAAGGACTTAAACAGATGTTCGTAACATTATTCACAATAGCTAAAAGGTGAAACAAGCCAAGTGTCCATCAACAGATGAATGGATAAATAAAATGTAGTAGATACATGCAGTGGGATATTATTCAGCCTATATAAAAAAGAATGGAATTCTGATACAAGTACAATGAGGATGAACCTTGAAAGCATGCTAAGTGAAATAAACCAGAAAAGACCGAATATAGTCTGATGCTACCTACATGAGGCATGTAGAACAGACAGATTCATAAACACAGAAAGTAGAGGTTGTGAGGACCAGGAAGGAGGAGGAAATGGGGATTTAGTGTTTAATGGGTACAGTTTCTTTCTGGGTTCATGAAAAAGTTCTGGAACTAGATATTCGTGATGGTTTCACAACCATAGTGGATGTACTTAATGCACTGAATTGTATACTTAGGTAGTAAATATAGTAAGTTTCATGTTACGTATATTTTACCATGTTAAAAAATTTTGACAAAAATCACAGTACAAGTATTGTGATGAACTTTATTTACCTTGTGTTCCCCAAACAAGGAAGCTGAGTTTATTCTGGGGGTATCATGGATCCTGGACCAGGAAAATCTCAGAAGGGTGGTGTAGCTTAAATATTCAAGGCCACTTCCTTACCAGTCTTGAAATGCTCCATCTTCTTGCCCTGACCTGGCAGCTCAGTTGATTAGAGCATCAGCCCCATATGCCAAGGTTTGATCTCCGGTCAGGGTACACACAAGAAGCAACCAATAAATGCATGAATAGGTGGAACAGCAAATCAATGTTTTTCCTTCTCTTCCTTCCTCTTTCTTTCTAAAATCCATAAAATTTAAAAAAAGAAGAAATGCTTTGTGTTCTAGAGATTGTCTATGGTCAGCAATAAGTTGGTACATGACAGACTAACCAATTCTACATCAAGCAAGAATTAGATAAATGCACATTTTATGTCTATATGATGGATTTGTGAAGATGTGCAGACTAAGCCTCAGAGATGAGGTAGGGTATGTATGTGAAGCAAATGGAGTAGTCAGGTCTTTCTCCTTGGTATGAATTAGCTGCAAGTTAGCTATTTTTGTACATCAAGAGTAAACTAGAATAAAAATAAAGCTGTAAACTTTGCACATTTTTGCTGCTTTAATACAGACTCTTTAAATATAATCTGTAAATCCACTTCCTAGAGATATTCTTTCTGTTAAAAAAAATCAAATTTATTATTTAACTTCATTGCAAAGAACATTTAAAAAATAATCTTTGATGTTCAGCTAGTGTGGGATCTCCCAAGAGAGATTAATGGAGATACTAAGGCAGATAATCCACCGAGTTTCCCTGTATTGCTTTAAAATATCCCACAGCGTTTGTTTTAGGGAAGCAAAGAGTTTCTTCCAATGTGATTTCTTCTGCTTTTTTGAGTTAATACTGAACTTCTTTTTTCTTAAAAAGGTTCATTTTAGCTTTTCTTTTTGCTTCTATTAAAAAGTGTAGGTTTGTGGATGCATAATATTTTTCTACTTTCTAGGTCATATTTCATATTGCTGAAAAAATGAGCATAATCATAGTATCCATTGGTTTTAAAATTGGAATTCATACAGAAAAATGACAACATAGCTGCTAGGAGCATTGATTCTGGAGCTAGACCACATGGGACTATGTTTTAGTCCTGGCTCTTCCACTTACCAGCTTATGTGACTGTGGGCAAGTCATTTGACCCCTGCATGCTGTAGTGTATTATCTATAAAATAGAGCCTATAATAGTATCTACCACGTTGGATTGTAATGAGAACTGGGTAATATTGTAAAGCAAATAGAATAGTACTGGGCACATAGAAAACACTATATTAAATAGTGTTAAATAAAACAGTATAAGTTAGCTTTAGCCCAGACTTTGTGTTTTTATTTTTCATCTGTGAAATGGAGAGATCTTTAACTCAAAAGGGTATGTGAATGTTATTATAATGTCAGTAGTAACTATTACTTGCAAATTCTTCAAAAGAAAGTTGGTAGAAGTTACTATTTACTATGATAATATTCAGTGTAATCAGAATGCATTTTCAATAGAAGGTAAAATAACTCAACTACTACATATAGTAGATTTTGATTAAACATCTTTTTTCTTTTTTTTTTTTACCTTTGCCCTAGATAGAAAGGGTACCTTTTTCATGACAGAAGATATCAGATTAATCATTGTGACTCCACTAGTTCTTGACATAATAATTAATCCATATAAATTACTCAAGTGATATTAAGAAAATAATTTGTATAATCTGTGATGTGAGAATCCAATTGTTTCATTATTCATCACCCATTGTGCAATTTTGATTTAATTTGGTTTGTTTTATATTATTTTACTGCTCTATTAACTTAATGATTGGAGCAATTATTTATAGTTTGTGACATTAGGTAATAGATTTAGGGGATATTAGGTAATTCATGATAAAATGATGTCTATGAACATTATGGAGAATTCTCTCATTTTAACTTAATGCTGTATACAGTTTATAATGAATATATATTCTTGTACAAAATTCATATCACACAACTATACATGTGATTTTCCATTGGTATACAGGTATAGTGATTATCAACATTATTTAAAGTAGAATAGGTAGCTGATAGTACCCTTAGCCCTCAATTTCTTCACATATCTATGTAAGTATATACTGCTGCTAGAAGATTTTAGTGGCAAGTGAAGAAAATAAAAAATAAATAAATGATTTATGCTCTACCATTGTTTTATTTTCCCAAGACCACTGCTAAATACAAATCTTCTATGGCTACTTCTGCTCTTAGAAATTCCTCATCGATGCCTTTGTCCTGACTTTACAGCGTATCCTTCTCATCCTCACCAGGACTTACAGTTCTAATAGTGATGTTTATTTGCATTTGCTCATGTGGGTTTCCTAGATCCTTTCTCTCTAGACATATAGATTGGACCGACCTAATGCTAATCAAAGTTTCTCCAGAGGAAAACAGATTAAACAGGTGCACACTCTTATTTGCAATTCCTAATCCCAAATCTCTGAAACTAAAAAAAAAAAGTAACCTATTTATTGGCAAATCTGACCTGAATTGACGTGAAATTATTTATAGTCTTTATCTGATTTATAGTGAATATTTACATGTTTTACTGCAGAATATTGTTTACAGGATGCTGCCCCAAAGCCCTGATGGAGATGTTATACAGGGTGGGGAAAAAGTAACTTTATAGTTGAAGTATGTGAAACACAATTTATTCTTGTATTAATATTTATTATTGTAATATTTTCTATATGAACAACTGTAAGCCTACTTTTGCCCTACCCTGTATATAGCATATACATTGTGTTGTCCTAAAATTCTGCAAAACTCATGTATTCTGAAATACATTTGGCTGCAGAGGTTGCATGTGACCTGTAATGGTGATATTCTGTAATATAAGCACTGTGTGGTTAAGAATATAAGATTTCTAATCTAGTTATGAATGTCAGTCTTCTTCTTTTAGATTACCTATAGTCATAATACATCAAAGAAATATGATTCAATTATAATTAATGGTTCCAACATCCTTGAAACAAACAAGTATGAGTTATATGGCTAGCTAAATTCTCATATCACGTGTTTTAAGACATATTTGACTGGCTCCACACATCATTTACAAATATTAATTCCAAATTAACATGAGCCACATAAATAATTTTTTAGCATATGAGTACAATGGCTCTTTATGGGATGTCTTGGAATAGTAAGATCACTTGTTGCTTCTATATTCAACCTTTTGGGTGAGGCTTTATGACCGTCTCCCTCCTTCCCCTCTTCAGTCTGGGAGAAGAAATCTTTTTATGTGGATTGCATAGTTTTTATAGTATAATTTCTCATGTAGGATATATAAATTATGAGCCACACAACACTTTAATGAGAGATGTTAATACTAATTTGCTTGTAAAAGTCTAATTTTTAACTATTATTTTTAGGTATTTACTACCAGGATGTACACAGTTCTTCATGAGATCACCAACCTACAACTTGAAATACAGTTCACCTGGAATGACTGGCTCCAATGTTTTGTTTACATCCCGATATGGCCATTTGTGAAATAGAAGGGAAGATTGCCATGGGTTATGCATAATAGCAATTCATTTCCCCCCTAATTTAAACATGCAAAGAAGGCAACATTAAGTGCTGTTTTATGTACATATATGTGAAATATATACACACATGCACTCAAATAACATGTATATTTATTATAATATATGAAAGAAGAATTAGCAGAAAACTTGATTATAAGACTTAACCTTTCTGGAAATGTAATAAACCATGTTAATATTGTTTACACAAATATGTGACTGTCTAGAATTTGCTAGGTTTATAATTAACACCTTCCTACTAGAAATGTTATTTTTGCTGCAGAGTATATGAAACAGAACTGATCTTGAAGATCCCATTACAGTGTTAAATTATTTTCTAGATAACACATCTTTTGACTTGAAAAGCATTAATAGTATAATACCTTATTCTCTTATGTATATAGTAGTCATATAAAATGAAGAAAAATTAGAAGCCTGGTGTTGCTTTGATCATAGGATTAAGTATAAAATGGGTTTATCATTATTATAGCACACTGTAAAATACAATAAAAACCCCAACCTGATTCTTCAACATTTTTATTTCTCTATATGGAAATTTAGCTACTTACGATAATGTATATTTTCAGTAAGGATTTAGTGAGATCCTATTCTGACCTAAAATGGAAGACAATCCAGTGGGTTAAAAATAAACAAAACATAAACCAGCTTTTATTTTTACTTTTCATCGAGGGGAGTCACATAAAGGAACAGAAAATGATGGGAAGACAGAATCTCCTCATACGATTTTTGTATCTCCTACCACTCATTTTTATTTGGAAAGTGTATCTCCAATAGGTGTATATGGTCAAACACAATTTTTTCTGTTCTTCAGACGTAGAAGAGCTGACCTTTCAAACTCATTTCAGTTTTACAGGATAATGTGTCACACGTATTTTATAAGACTTTCAATATTGAGACCAATTTACATTGCAGAGTCTAATACAGTTTCACATTGCACCATAGAAAATAATCTAAAGTACTGCAAATAGAAGGTTCTGATTACTAGATATTATTAGTTATGATGTGCTGTTAAGAATTTTTAAAAATCAAAATAAAGTATGAAGTTTCTTCTTGTTCAGAGTTATTATGCATAAGTTTCATAGCAGTTTTCTTCCATTTCTTACTTAGAGTTTCAAAAACAATGAGTGAGCTTTCAGTTTTCCATGAAAATATAAACACTATTATTGGTGTGGAAATCCTTCAGAATTTCAGTATTCACCTTTTAGAAGTTTAAACTTCTCCCCAAAGTTTTATTTTCTCACAGATGCTAATTATTTGCAAAATTCAAGAATGTCTTACCTCCTCTTATCCTAAAAGCTTCTTCCAGTAAATCAAGAAGTGGCCCAAAGCAGAAGAACTGAGAGAGGCAAACTAACCTGGTTTAATTCACAAACTGGATAATTGGCAGCCCCAAGTTGTAAGTTAGATATTCTTCGCTTTTAAAGCCATATTCTGAGACTGTGTTAGACTAAACTAGGCGATTCCCTGAATTATTGCTAGCTACCTGCTTGTTTACAAATGCCTAACATCCATATTCCAGTAGACACTTTTTCTTGCAAGATGCATCCCAAAGAAGAATTTATTGTCTTTGTGGAAAAAGAGAATAAGGGTGTCAGGGTGAAGGAAATTTCAGTGTAACTGTGAGCATTTATGACTCCATTTTGTGAATTCTTAAACATGTATTATAGATTTCTCAGAATAAATAATGTAAAAATGGGAATGGGGGTATTACAAAATTATTATAAGAATGATCAGTAAGTAGGCCTTTTCAAGGAATATTTTTAGTCATTTTTCTTTCAAATTCACGATTTGTCCATGAATGAGACACAATTTCAAGTGTCTAGTATATGATATCAACACAGTTTGTTGACCGCTCATTTGCATTAGTTTAAATGAAAATGTTTAGTTAATTTGCTAGGACGAGTGCTTTAAAACTTCTGTCCTTAGTTGTACGAGAGTGAAATTTTTATTTAAGACAAAGAAGAATGTCCAACATGGGAATGCACCCTGTCCCCCAGGAAACACACACACGCACACACGCACACACACGCGCACACACACACACACACACACACAATTTTAAAAACAAAGAGTAAATTTAAATACTGTGTCTGAAACTACCCAAGTAATTGATGAACAGATTTCATTTCCCTAGCCACTTAAGTCTACCTTTTTTGAGCGTAGAATTTCATTGCCCACATTTCCTATTTATACTGATCTAGTTTGATATGATGAAGTTGTGAATAAAGCCATACACTCATTATTTATATATTACCTGGTATGCTGTGGGCTATGGTTGCTGTATTGCTTATTTCTTAATGAGAAACTAAGAGAAGAGGCGATAATAAACTTTGGAAGTCTCTAGAGGCCATAGAAATGTTTTAGAGGTATAACATATTCCTTAGTTTTTATTATAATTTTTAACTGATGGGGTTAAAACATATCAGTATAAGTGATAAGTATGAGTCTGACTCTCCCTTTCTCTTTCTCTCTCTCTCTCTCTCTCTTTCTCTCTGTCCCCTAGGAGAGAAAATAACTTTATCTGAAAAATCCAGAAGCTATTCAATTTTACCACGAGTTTCTAATAGGGAATTTGGTTTACTTATGATGAAAGCATATTTTCATTCTGTTATTAAGAAAATATCTCTGATCATTCTGTAAATCTAAGATTGGAATGCTTCTCAGAAATGTATATGATTGAAATAATTTCCAGAATTGTATAAAAAGCACCCCTTTTAAAAAATCATCTATGAACACAGTTTGATATGCAGATTAGCTTTCATTTGAATAATCCAGCATTGTAGATTAGTAGTTCTTTGTAATCTATTGGAGGAAATACTGTGATTCTTATTATGATTGTTTTTACTAGCAACAAATTTTATTTTACTAACATTTATTTATGTTGTGTGTATACGAATGAAGTTATAATAGAATTAAATATGGAAATGGCCACAATAACCTTTGCTTAGAACATAGTTGAATATCCCTGGTTATCTATAAGATGCAAAGATCTATACATATTTTTCTAGGTCTAAGTACACAAAAAGTTTCGACTAATTCCTCTTCCCTAGAATTAAAATGAATCAAACTCAAACAAAAAAACAAAAACCCCACAGCTAGATGAGAGTGGGTTCTAGAAATCAAGATAAAGATTTCATCCTAATTCTTTTTAATTTAGAAAGTTTATGATTATAGAATTTTATTGTTTAACTGGAAATTTCAGATGTTTTCATATAAATTAATCTAAATGCTTTCTTTATTCTGTCAAAGCCATTTTGTTTAAAAATTCTCTTTAAGCCTGGACGGTGTGGCTCAGCAGTTGAGCGCCAACCTATGAACCAGGAGATCATGGTTCGACTCCTGGTCAGGGCACATGCCAGGGTTTCAGGCTCAGGCCCCAGCAGGGGGCGTGCAGGAGGCAGCCCATCAGCGACTCACTCTCGCCCTCTCCCTTACTCTCTCTGACATCAATGAAAACATTTAAAAAAAAGTAGGCTCCCAAATAAAATAGTGAGGTTTAATTCTCTTTAAGTCTAAACATACACATTACTTGACCTTTTCAAAAGCAAAAAAAATTAATAGTTGCAAAAATGCTATTTCTAGTTTTCTGTAAAGCACTGATTCATTCTTAAATGTATATTCTTTAAAAAATTATAGCAGATACCTCAAGGAGAATGACAAAATACTTTTCTGTTCTCTAATGCTGATTTACATTTTGAGTCTTAGTTAACTTGATTATAAGGGTTAAACAATAAAAAGTGTAACTACAATTAATGTGTTTCTGTGCTTTGATAATTATTGAAAATTTGCTTTCCTCTTTAAATTGAGATATTAAATTTTTCAAGAACTGAATTTGTTATCTAAATATTTGGGCTAATATTACTTATGAATAAATTAAACATTTAGAAATATACTTATGATCAAAATGTTATTCCTTACACTGCCCTTCCTTCCTTCCTACTTCGCTCCCTCCTTACTTCCTTTTTCTTCTTTTTAAAATTTAAGTTCTTTTTGAAGTTTTGACCTTTGCATGGATAAGGTCAAGAAAAGAGAAATCCTTATTTTTGCCTCAGCAACAATAACAGATAATGTGTCATTGGATCTAGTTCAGTTTGCTGAGAGTTTTAGGAATCAGGTTGAAGTCTCTTTGCTTTAAAAGCATTAATTGTGTGGATCTATGTAAACCAAGGTACATGGCTACAAATAACAGTCTTAAAACAAAAAATTGATGTATTAAGACTTATTTCACACTTTGAGATGGCTGCCTTTGTGTGTGTGTGTGTTTGTTTTTTGCCTTGCCATAAATGAGTACATGGTGTATTGAAGGAAAACTGTTCAGGTAACACATCCTGTGCTAACTGGGCTTAATTATCTAAGAATTGCTACATAAAGCTTTTGTTCTCCCCATCAGCTAACTTGAAAACTGTTGGTAAAGTCAACAGACTAATATTTTCTAAATTAGTAAGAAAACCTACTTACTTCACAAAGGTAATCAGATAATGCTGATATTTTCTCTTCCTAAGGTTAACTACGAGAGTTCTTGGTCTTGATCTGGTCAGTTCATACAGGAACTACTGTACTTTCTACAGCATCGAATATTCATAGATTTCCTGAAGATTCTGGGTTTGAAGATTAACCTGAAAGCAATACATTTGCCATCATGAGTCATGACTCAAATTATCCTCATGTGCTTCACTACATGTATATGAATGCAAATGCCGCTACGGAAAATATGTTTGAAATGTCAACACTGTGCAATTAGTATGGCATTGTCATGCTTCAGCATGTGATATCTGTATGGCAAATTTATTTCAATTACTCAGATATGTTACTATAATAAAAAATGCTTAACATAAGAAAGCTACAATATGTCATCAAATGGTTATTTCTGTTTTACACACACAGTTTTTAGCAGTCAAGGGTTGGCTCTCAATTAAACATTCAGGGTGATGAAATATATTTTCAGTGCAATTTTCTTCTGCTGTACAGACAGCAATAGTACTATGGGGATAGCTTTACCTGCTATTAAAGTCAGGTCGAGTAAACAAAATTGGTGTCAATTTCTTAGTTAGCTAGAAGGCACACTTCTCTAAAATTTAGAAATGTGACACTTTTATATCTTTCTAGCATCATCGACTACAACAGTATTACTAATCTGAATAGATTTATGTCAGCATCTCAGCTATGAAGTTCATTTTGGGGAGAATTTATA